GAAACTCATAAAAGATAACATTAGTTGATGTCACATAGTGACAAGTATTAAGAAAATAGACCTAATAACTTTTTTGTGTTTGTGAGTAACCAACAAAGATTTCTTTGAGAGTACGAGGAACTAATTTAGAAAGAGAAAGAGAGTAGTCTTAGACAAAAATAGTACATCTAAAGACGCGAGGGGGTAAGAAAAAAAAAGAAAGAATTAAGTGAAAGACGATGAAGTGGAATGACCCCCCACTAAGTGGAGCAGAAAGAACCTGGTTATGAAGATATGTGACTATTAAGAGAGCATCAGACCATAGATAATGAGGAACATTCATCTCAAGGTCAGGATGTATGTGGATACATGATTTAATGAAGGATACCACAAGTAACACAAAATGTGCAAAGTGAGTCTTAGACTAACTCCATAGTATTGTTGGTGCGAAAAATCTTGAGCATAATAAAATACTGAGTGATAACCTCAATAATGAAGTGAATAACTGTGGTATGAATTTAAGTACATCTTGGAGTATAGTCATCAACAAAAACAATGTAATAGCAATGGCCCCAGATAGATGAAGTATGAGAGGGGCCCCAACTCGAGTAAGAATCACGATGTTATTTACTCAATTGACATGACTCATACACAAACTTATTAAGAGAAAGCCAATATAAGATTTTTAAAAGTTTATCAGACAAGGATGTTTAAACGACAATGCCATAAAAAAGATGGAGTGACTATAGAAGAAATAAAAAGAACTTGATGGCTAGAAGAAGGTTTATCAAAAATTAACTCATATACACATTATCAATTCTTATGTCAGAAATTAATCCTCCGCTTGGTATACAGATCTTGGAAGGTACAATGAAAAGAAAAAAAATATAATAGAACAAAGAATAGCTCGAGTAATGATATTAATAGATAAAAGATTAGTAGAAACTTCAAGAACATAGAATCTGGGTGAGAGAAATACTTGGAGTAACAACGATTTTGTCATATTCGTTGATCAGACAAGTTTGACCATTGGCAATGGTAATTAATGGATGATGAAGGGTAACGTGATGATAAAATGATGGGTGTGCTGGTCATGTGGGTGGAGGCCCTGGAGTTAATAATCTATGATGAAGATAAAGATGCAAAGAGAGCATGTGTATCTGACGTGAAAGGATTCAAAAGCGAGGTCAAATTGACTAAGGAATGAGCCATAGTACTACTAGAGTGATGTAGTGTTTCATACTCGGTGGAGGTCAATGTTACATAAAAAGTCAGAGACTAGATATTAGATAGCATTATAGAAATTGGTGAAAGAGGTAGGAGAACCAATTGGGTAGAGTTGGGCTTCCCAAATTATTTCTAACATTTGTCAGACATGTGGTTTTACTTTCCATAGTAGATGGATGGAAGAAAAGAATTGTAGCCCTTCCCACGTGGTGGACGGTTATTGTTTGATTTTGAAGTAAGAGGGTCATGTGACACTCGAGGAGTGGAGACGACCATCGTCAAAGGAGTAGATGTGGTGCTGGCTATAGCAAGATGAATGTTTATACTCACACGAAGTGTAATAGAGAAAATGTGAGAGATATTAGGTACTCGGTCTCCAAAGAGGATCATCTCACAAATTTGAGAGGTAATCGATGGGTGAAGTCTACTCAGATAGATTCTAACATAAAACTCATAACGATAGCATTCAAATATCTAGAGGTTAGTGATTGGAGGTTGATAGATGGTAAGCTTCTATATCAGGGTCTGGAGATGACCAAAATAAGTTTAAAGTGAAGAGTCACTCTACATGCAGACAAGAAGTGACTCGAAGATCTTGACCGTGCTACTAATATTTATTCAATTGACGTACATGTTCTCTAATGTTGTCTAGAGTTATTGCATAAGACGAATTTAGGCGAAAAGCTCGGTAATACTTGTCTCAATGCTCTGAAACATTTAGGTAAGGATGGCTAAATCGAGCTGAGATCATGAAGCAAAGGACAGATTAGTGAGGCTGGATAGATCAATCAACAAGTGATGGAAAATATTGTGTGATATCAAAAAGTACTTGAATCTAGAGGCCCACGATGCATAATTATGTCTATTGAAGACATGCTAGTTGAGTGAGTTGTACTGTGATGGAGTGTCATGGAGTAGCCGACTCAACCGAAGGAAAAGCGACAACTAGCTGAAGAATTGACGAAGGAGGTGCATGCGACATCAAAGATTCACCCACTAGATCCATAGATTAGGATTAGTAGGAGATAAGATGACACTAGGAGGAGACATCTTCAGAGTCGTGCGAGGGGCTGAGATGCGACATACAAGGTGTCAGGAGGCAACATGTGGGGTGTCGGGAGGGGGGCATCAGGAGTCTACAGATAGTGTGCTTGTAGTCGGTGCACGAGGCACTAGCAGGAGATGGTGCCATCAGGTGCATAGACATAGCAGCATGCTAGATGGGTATGTAGAATGACACTAGACAAGTGTCAAATGGGCATGTAGGTGCGCACAGTAAGAAGCACAGCAGGCATGTAGGGCTACATAGACTGAGCATTAGGTAGGTGCATAGGGCAGCATTGCAAGAGATTACGCCGGGAGAGGATAAGTGACACTGAAAGAGGAGGTGGTGCAGTGGCAGCGGAGAAATCCTAGGGCTTTGATACCATGTTGACAAGAGGAAGAGAAAACCATAGAATTGATGATTAAAGAACAAGAGTATATGAGGTCATATAGAAGAAGGGAAGAAAGAGAGAAAATGAGAAGTGGAGATCGTGGAGAAAGAATAGGGGTTTGGAGAGAATAAGTCCAAAATAGACCTGGTGGGCCCAGTGGGCCTATTCTAACAGATATAAATGACATAAAAGGTAGGGTTCAAAGCATGTGCTTATTGTTTGGGATGAAATTTTCTGAGGTCCACATCTAAGATCATGGTCACATGTGGTAAGTAAGTGGCTTTTCATATTTTAAGAACCACCCTCTCTCTTGAAAACATGAGGTTTATTCTGTCAATAAGCATCTACATAGGCCTAAAGCTGTTTGATTACACTTTTTATAATTTTCTTGATAAAATAGATTTCTGATGAAAATTTAAGTTGTGCAGCATTCCTCTACCAATGAGATTGAATTATGACAATTACATTTATGCATAAGGCATAGACTTTCTGAAGGTTGGAAATCCAAGATAATTGATAATACTAAGAGGATTTTAGTGACTATCTTATTCTGAGATTCTTTCTAATATTTTCCATGATGGACAAGGAATCTTCATCTTAACTTGTTGTGAATGATGGCTCATTCATGGAAAGGTTTAAACAACTTCAGCAAGAAAACCAGGAGAAGGATTCATCAAAGGAGAAGCCCAAGTCCATGGCACCCAATTTATCTACGTTAATGAAGGCCAACACAACTAACACTTTCTTGAATAAGCCGCAATTGGATATTAAGCCTAATAATGTGAAGAAGCCTACAAAATCTACTTGAAACATAAGTCAAATGTTTACGTAGCTTCTTCTCCAGGCTTGTGACTGAGTTGTGGCATATGTTTATATCTACATTTATTTTGTCAACGATGATGGTAAAATACATGATAGTTGCAGAGAAAGTGAAAAAACCCTTATGCTTGGGAGGTTTAGTTCGTGATCTCAGTCATGTGCAAGAGATGACTCCCATGAATTATGATGTCAAAGTGTTTTACATCATACTAAAAATCATATAATATCATTAGAAGACTAAATACATCAATATCATCAATCACATCTTTCATGATGTCATTTTGCATAGTACAATTGTCGTGCAAAGTTTCATATGAAGGAGAACCCAGGAGATACGATCACAAAGCAAATTCTTTCAGAGAATTCCACGCATTACTCAGATTTGACTGGTTTGCAAAGCATGTGACGATTGCATTGATAGCATCATTATCAGTTATGATGATTGTGTTAGAGCTTGGCACTAGATGCAGCTTGGAAAGACGTGCCAATAGGAGAATTTGAGTGCCGCAGACCTCACACGCCATGCAGCAATTTTTTGACTGAAGTACCAACGGCTGTGGCGCATGGAGCACCAACATGCATCCTGCACTTTCTCTCTCTTTGTGCGCCATCCAAAACGGTCCTTTATGAGCTTATATTATTTGGCCTTCTCCCCCTCCTAGTTAAACCAGAGTGAATAAAAAGAGGAGAAAAAAAGCGAGAGCGAGAGAGAGAGAGAGAGAGAGAGAGAGAGCACGGGAGAAAGCAGTTATTCAGAAGCATGAAATTTTTTGAAAGATGAATGTCATGGAGAAAATAGAGTTACGATTATAAAACTTCAAACTCTCTATAGAGAATTTGACACTATTTTTATGAAATCTGGTGAATTTATCAAGGATTTACTTTCTCGTATTTCAATATTCTCAATGAGATAAGAATATTGGGAGAAAGCGAGAGAGACAGAGACAGAGAGAGCACGGGAGAAAGCAGGTCTGCAAGAGTTCTGGAGCGAGAAGGCGTCAGTTGTATTACTGGAGAATGTTGCTGGTCTGTCCTGTGGAGGGAGCCACCGTCTGTTCGTGGGTTAGGAGAGAGACACCACCAATTCCTACGACGGAGGAGGTGTGAGGTTTGTGTGATTTTCTCCGCATCTAATGAAGCCTACCAACGTCCTTGCCTGTGGATGTAGGAGGCAAACCTCTGAACCACATTTCATTTCTTGTGTCGGTGCTTCTGCTGTAGATTGATAATCCTTCTCTATCTTAATTTCATGCCATGGCAGATCAAGGGGACAACATTTCGTTACTCAAAGTTGACATTTGTTCTAACAAAAAATATCCCTAGGTACATATCTTTATTTTATTTTAGATGGTAACTAGTCGAGAAAATACAACTGAGAGAGCCAAAGGTTGACCCGGATCCTGATACCGTTGCTATGATTTGACCATGGCCCTTGATCATAGGTAGTTAGAACAGTATGATATGCATGACCTAAAAGATAGGGTTGAAAGCGCGCGCTTGCTGTCTGGGACGGAATTTCCTGAGGTTCACATCTGGTATCTAAGACCCTGGTCGCAGGCGGTAAGTAGGGACGGCGAGCAGGTTTTTGGCTCTCGCCAAGCTTAACCCGAATTTCTCCGACATGTCCAACTCGCCGGGGAGCTCCCAGTCGAAGCAGTGCACCAGTTGGGCTACGACAAACCGCACCGTCGTCAGGCCCATCTGCATGCCGGGGCACCTCCGGTTTCCGGCTCCGAAGGGGAGGAAGCCAGGCTCGAGGCCATCACGATCCTCAGCCCCGCCGCTGCTCCCCTCGAACCTCTCTGGGTAGAATGCGTCCGGGTTGACCCATTCATTCGGATCCCTTCCCATGGCCCAGAGGTTCACAACCACTTGGCTTCCTTTTTCAAACTGGAAGCCGCCAATGACACAGTCCTCCCGTGCCTGCCTGGGGATTAGGGGGATTACCGGGTGCAGCCGCATGCTTTCCTTGATCACCATCTCCAGGTAGGGCAGCTTCGGGAGGTCTTCCTCCTCAACCATCCTGTCCATGCCGACGGCCTCCTCCAGCTCTTGCTGCAGCTTCCTCATCACCCGGGGGTGCGTCAGGAGCTCCGACAGCGTCCACTCCACCGTGATTGCCGATGAGTCCGATCCCGCGGTGATCGTGTCCTAATAGGAAAGAAAAACAAGGCGAGATAAAAAATAATAATACTCACAGTAGTATAATCTGATTTCTTTTCTTGTCGTTGTCTCACCATGAGGATGGCCTTGAGGTTAACCCGATCATACTGCGTTCCCATCGAAGAGAGGATCGAGGCGATCACGGAGTCCTCAACCTTCACCCCTTCGTTCAGACTCCGACAGTACTTGTCGATGACCTCCTCGAAGAGGCTATCGTAGACCCTTCTGACGGCCTTCATTCGTCTCCGAACTCCGTTCAAGTCGAGGAATCCGATAAAAGGGAGGTAGTCGTTGATGTTGAATACCCCGGCTAACTGGGTAGCTTCTCTGACCGTCTTCTGTATTGTGGCTTCGTCGCCATGTACCTTCCCGAACAGAATACGGCACACAATGGCCATGGACATCGAGGCTAAGGCTTCGCTGAGATCGACCGGTTTGTGGCTTCCCTCGGCAGCCTTCTTCAGGGAGCCCAAGAGCCGCTGAATCTTCTCGTTCCTCACGCCCCGGAAGGCTTGGATCTTGCGGGTGGAGAGCATATGGGATAGGCAGAGGTTCCGGGATTCGCGCCAGGTATCCCCGTATTCGGAGGCGAGGACCCCCTTCTGCTGCCCATAGGTGAGGTAAACGGTGACGTCGCCCCCGGGTCGGTTCGTGAAGGCAGGCTCCCTGAGGAACTTCTGCGCAGCAGCGAAGGACGATACCATCACCACTCGGACGAAGCCGAGCTTGATGCCCATGACGGTCCCGTACGCCTCCGCCAGTTTCCGGAGGGTCTGATGTGGTAAGGTTCCCAAAGCGAGGAGATTCCCCAAAATAGGAAGACCGGGAGGGGATGGCGGCGGCCTGAAGCTTTCTCCACGGCCGATCTGGGTCGTCTTCTTCCTCAACAACGGGAGTGCGAAGAAACGTGCGGCCGCAGCGGCCGCTGCCACCGCTATGGCTACGAGAAGGGTATCTGGGGCCATCCACGAGTACACCGCCATACTTTGCTCCTCTTAAACTATGGCTACTTACCTGCATATATAGATATATATATATATATATATGATGTGTGCACGTGTGGGATGTGTTGTGTGTGTGTGTGTGTGTGTGTGTGTGTGTGTGAGAGAGAGAGAGAGAGAGAGAGAGAGAGAGACGTTTCATCGTGCTTTGATCGGCCGGCCTACATGACTCTCGGAGTTATTGGTCCGAAGGGGATAGAAGAAACGTGCCGCGGCTTCTGCCAGCCCTACGGCCACCAGGACTGGGATCATCCACCAGTACACCGGCATACTTCCTCCCCTGAAATTATGGCTTCTTACCTGAAACATATATTTATTTATTAAGAAAGAGATGGAGAGACAGAGACAGAAACAGAGACACAGACAAAGACAGAACTCGCGGTGACCTTGCTGGACTGGGGTTTAAACTCCTTCAAAGTCATCACTCGCTCGGAGCCAGACGAGTCATCGTTACCTTGCGAATCCGGCACTACATGTCTTACCGAGTTATTGCTCGCTAGGAGAGAGACCTAGCCGTGACATAGCTGCTAGGAGACAGACCTTGCCGTGACGTCGCCGGCCGCACTTACCAGCACAGCTGGTTCAGATTTTGCCACATGTCATTTATTGGAACTTGTTCAAGCATCAAATTTCCGATGTTTCTTTCGCCCAATCTCGTGTAATCATCCGCTAGATTTGTGATAGCTAGACTCATGCTGTGTTCGATTTAGATTCCTCCAAGCCTGCAGCATTCAAAGTAGAAAGCAGGACGATGACAGAACAAGCCCATCATTACACAAGCCTGGCACGGAATTTCAACTCCTAGGTCTACAGATGGCGGCGGCGGCGGTCATGGAAGTTGACTATACACTCCGGAGTAATGTGGAACACCTCCCTGGCCAAATACGAACTTAGTCCGCCATCGAATGAATATAGCCCAGAAAGCAACCTCATGCACCAACGGAGATATTTTACCCTATTTCCTCTCCCACGTGCCTGCCTCTCCGTGATTTATCTTGATCTATTTTATCTGTCCACTTACGCGCCAGTTGCACCATGGAATGCTTGCTATGTCTTCAAAAAATCCCATCATTTCCAACAGCAGCCCAGCGATCAGGTTTCGAAAAGCTGTTGCTGAACACCTGTTGAACAACCCCAGCGAAAATTATTCAGCCTGAAATAAATAGTTCTTTGAGCAATTCAGTGCGCATGAATAGACCTGAGTGGTGAGCTTGCGGATGAAGAATGAAGGTACCTGTTGCTAAAAAATAAAAGTTAGGCGAGCATTCAACTATAAATAAATAACTAAAATAAACTGAACACAAGGTACGATGAAACTGACATGATTCTGGCGTAATCGAACCACAAACAAATCTGGCAAGTGAACGATGCTCTCACATTGACTGTACAGGAGCTGGTGAGCGGAACCATTAGATGATCTCAACAATCTGCCACTCTGTGTCTTCAACTTTTTGCGGCCTTCAAAATGAGATCGTAATGTTCAATACAAAAAAACGATCCTGTCTCTGGTCCCGAGGGACAGTTAAGCATTAAGATGCTGAAATATAATGAGCATTCTGTAAGAATATGTAAGAACAAAAACATCGATTACCATCTGTGCATGCAAAGCCCTCGTTCAGGAGTCGGGATTTTATTACTGGTGGCCTGTCTCTGGAGAAAATCCAGGCTAATTTGAAGGCCATTCTGTGCTTGAGTGCAGCCTTTCTTACACCCCACGAAAGATAACTTGGATCGTTGTGTTATTGGCAACACTTGGATAGTAAATTAAAATTGGCACTATAGAAAATAAGGAAATGGAACTCTTAGCATCTGGTCCGGAGGGAAAGCTTACGGGGAGATTTCTGTTCTCAATCAGACTTTTTGTGCCGCAAAAGAATGATGAACATTGTAGAGAGCCAATACAACGACGAGAAAAAGCACTCCAACTCAGCTCTTGCAGATCACCTTGAGAAAATACTTCCTAGGATTTTCCAAGGAATGGAAAAATGATGGATCTCCAAGAACAGGATCCTCCTCCCATGAGAACTGCTCCTTTAGAGGCAACGGACTTATTTTCAGTGCATCACTGATATGGGGAGAACCACGACATCAACAACTCGGATGCCTCAATAGCTCAACGGCCATTTTTAACCACTGCACATTCTAATATGTACCAACGAAGGTCATGGATGGAAATCATATTAATGAGGAGAGGCACTTCAGAGCGGGAAGAAGTAGTAAAAGTGTCAGGTCACTCTAAGTGATGGGGATCGAAGAAGTCGGCCAGCACTTTCACATCATCAATACGTCGGCCCAAGCCCATTAATGCATAATTTCCTTCTTCTGTCATTTATATATTTTTTTAATCCTTAGAGGTTATAAATAACATCACATAGCCTTAAGAATGATCAGAGAAGATAATGAAGTTCTGAGGTTTACCTTGTGTCACTCATAAGGAGAGGCTGTGAGAGTCATTGCTCTACAAGGAGAGGCTGTGAAGGTCATCTGCTCTGCAAGGAGAGGTCATGATGGCCAATTATCATTCACCACCACCGCCATACATTGTCACTGTCGCCTGCTGCTGTCCACCACCTTCATCGTCCATTGTTATCTTTAAACACCTTTTCTTTCTACATTAGACCATTTTGTTCATTTTGTATTTTATCTTACAATATTGCTGTTGTGAGATTTATAGATAGGTCCATTTATTTTCATAGCTGGTGGTTAATGAAGAGTGATAACCCACTCCATTTATTTGCATCTTATCGACTTATTGATTTTGGAGCACCCTAATCATTGGCGATTTCTTAATTATGTCGAACCTTTGTTTAAAATCTTGTAGGAAATCACTGTCTTATCTTAGTCAACTCTCTTAATCCTTATAACTTTGCAAGAGTTGAGTCTAAATTACCTGTCTAGGGTAGTTTAGTCACTTTCATCACTGTCCCACAACACAAAGCACCTGTGTTATCCATCTCTCTCTCTCTCTTTCTCTATTTCCCACGGAGTTGCTAGGGTCTACAATTTGTAGTCAACTCTCCTTCTTTCCCTTCTTAAGAGAGGCTTAGGTCACGGGAGCCTTCGTTCCGTTGTGTCGTCATTGTTTTTTCATCTATAGTGTCCAATCATCACTTCTCCCTCTCTCACTTGTTATTTTATTATCTTGTGTGTCACCCAAGCGTCAAAAACAACCAATTATCCACTATAGCTACTGTTCCAAAGCCAAGGTCCTACAAATTTGGTATCCAAGCCAGAAACCACCTCCCTATTTCACGAATGGATGGTTCCCTATTATTGCTTAATTTTTTTACATTGAAGAAAAATGATAGTAAATACCACATTAACTAAGCTCAAATATAATCAAATTAAATGGAAAACAACGAATAGAGTTTAGAACATGTTTCATGATTTTTTGTTTAAACTTGCATAGTATTTATGAAAAATGTTAATTTGATGATTTAACTCAAACACTAACATGACAGTCCAAGGCATACATTCGTGAGAAATATTTTTGTCTTTATTATTATTAACATGAAATCAAAGAACAGGCAGAAGTAGGAAAAATCGATTTTTTCCTAGGTTTATTCGAATTTATGGAGATGTGACCTGGTAATGAGCTGATTGTATTAGGTCCAATAGGTAGGCACATCACGAGGGTTTAAGGGAGAAAGAGAGAGAGAGAAGGGGCTAGACCCTGATGGAGGCTAAGCATGGAAGGGCACGGTGACGATGGTGGTGGCGGCAAATGATTCTCCCTCTGAGATCATGGTGGCAACCACAGTGTGCTGAGCATGATGGGTGTGAACGAATAGAGCCTTCTCCAGTGATCAAAGTTCCTCCATCTCCCATGAACTTGACAGCAACACATTGTCAAAGCTCCTCCATTCCTAGCATTCACAACCAGTTTGCAGTAGTAGGTTCTTTCTACGAGTGACAGACAAAGAAAATGAAAATGGTGGCACAGAAGGGGAACTTTCTTTTCACTTTACACTCCAATGTCGTTTCCGTTCTGTTTAAACTAGTCGATTTTGTGGGTGACAGGCACTCAGCAGAGTGGGATCATTCCTTTTGCTCATCCTTGTTTTGTGCGATTTTCGTCATCCTTTCTCTTTCAGAATTGTTATGTTCATCCTTTGGTGATAGGGAAAGTTTGATTTTAGTTTCGTATTTCATTTATTCTTTCTTATTATATAAATGATGTCCTTGATTTTATCCTAACTTTGAATAATGTTTTATCTGTACATATTGGCCATTCTCCCCTCTTCTTCTTGTCCCCTTCTTTAGTTTTTGGTGATGTTGCCTTCTTGCTGGTGAAGATGTAGCTGCAGCGACTAAGAATTAGAGGAAACAATTCTCGGAGTTCTTTCACCCTTTTTCACTCAATAAATATTTGAGAACAGAATTTGATCGTCATCACTGAGGATAGACTTGGCACCTGCCCTGCTCTTCCTGTTAAACCAGGAGAACCTGAAACAGTTCGAGCGGGGGACGTAAAGAATGTATCAAATCGAACATTTCTCTGCGAGAGGCAGAGAAGTCGTGAAGTATTGGACAGCCGGTACGGCAATGCATCTCACTCATCCCCAACCTGAAAATATACTGGCAACATCAGCACAGACACCACTAGTAAATCTTTTCAACAGAACCCAACAACCTTCTGTGCGCAATGTAGAACAACAAAATCATTAAGGTAAAAGAATTACTTCGGCATCAATATAATGAATTCACAATTAAGGACAATATCAGGAAAACTTGAAGATCATAAAAACAGAAGAATTACTTCAAGCACCTTGACAACATCACTGATTCCTTCGATTTGTCCATAAAAAACTGTTTTTATCTCTGCTTCAAAAGAAAATGTCGAGAGGATAAATTTATGTGTTGCTGACAACAAGAGGTTTGCCATCTTTAAACCCCATATGTCCTTTAGTGCATCTTAAAAGAAATTCATGATGACCCTACACGCAAAAACAGAAAAATAAAAACCAAGGAAAACTCAGAAAGAAAATTAATATCGCCCAGAATCAAGTTCTAGTGCTCAAGTGATAATATCTTCATTAAAAAATAAGATCCATTTAGGATTAACTTGAGCAAGCATTCCCAACATCTGCTGGGGTAAGAAAGAAGAGGAGAATAACCTCCTGTCTCTCAATGGCCTTCACTAACCGCTCTCTCTGATATGGGATGCGAAGTCTTGTGGACATACGAGTATCCTACAGAAAAGGTGTTGCAAATCGAATAAAAAATGCCCATAAATAAAGCAAAAAGCGAGAAAAAATAAGTGAAATATAAGCAGGACATCTCACAAACATACCATGTAGTTCAAAACTGGGAGGTCCGGGTGGTGGTTCTGTCTTAAAACCATGTCAATTTGTTAATAAGCTATGAAATGATACTCTAACCTAAAACAAACTATCAAATAAAAAATATTGAAAAAGATAACGACTTGAATTAAAAAAATCACAGTTCACAAACTTGTGGAATGAAAAGATGAAATTAATGTGAAAAAAAGGGCAAATGAAAGTGAACAATAGCAAGCATCAGTTTTGCCCATCATACCTTCGAAACTGATCGAGACAAAAGTGGATTCTCAAGAGTCATACTATTTTTTGCAAACTCTTTTTTTCCACCATACTTAAAGTCTTCTTAGTCATGCTAGTATCAAAAATCAACAAATAGTTAAAAATTGTGATAGTGGCTTTTGGAGAGTATAATAAAATGATAAAGTTAATGAAAAACTACGACATGTTCATCAATCAATTGAAGATCATTTTCTTGAAGAATTTGTGATTTTTGCATTCAAGATCCTTGGTCAATTACTAACGATGATATCCAATAGCATTAACAAAATTTTCATCGATGATCAAATGATTTTGACAACTTGATCATTGACTGGCGTTCTATACAAACTCATGATTTAATCATATAAAAAAATATAAATTATGGTTGTGGTAGGATTCAAACCTTCATTTCCCAACTATGTAAGAGAAGGTTAACTATTTACCATAATACCGTTAAATAGTGACATTGTAGTTGCATTTCTTTCTCCTAAGGAATATTTTAGGTAATAATTTTCCATCATTTTAGACTTGCGTGCAGTGCCCTCTAAGTCAGCTGCTAGGTCTTAGTTGGCTCATAGGTTCTCTTTTTTCTCATTTTTGTATTTATGTTATTTTTCTTTATTTTATCCTAAAAATACGAATATAAAAATTATATAAGTTTACATAAAATCACACTAGTCAACTAAAAACTCATTTTCTCAATGTAACATAAAGATAAAATATATTATTAACTTATAATAATGAAAACTTATTAGATATCCCATGATGTTGACACTTATTCAAGTAGTCCATCCTCTCTCAAATTTTATAAAATGTATCATGGGGTCTTTGACTGAATTATCTTATAGCCTTCCTAATGGAGTTAGTTCTCCCAATTAAATAGTACTTTAAGAAATCACTCTCCAATTAAATAGTGAATTAGTTCACTGTTTGAATATTATCTAATAGCACAAGTTGGTTTCATTTGCTAACTTGTTCACCCATGCTTTAGCCTTATCCTTTAAAGAAAAAGGAAAGCACTTCATTTTCACAATATCATTGAGAATATTCAAACAGTGAACTAATTCACATTTCGAATGGAACTCTTCAAGATGCTTGTAACGTTCCTCATTCCCATGTCCATAGAAAATCAGAAAGTACTGAATCATTTGATAATCTAATTTGAAGTGAGCATCTTGAGCAATGTGTCCATTAATATGAGTGGTTGGCTTAAATGGCAATGGCGATGATCTCTCTTGAAGGCTCACTTTACACTCTATCCTTAGATTTGTGGCTCTGCCACTCCTCCTTGACCTTGTTTCTCCTTGGATAATGCTCTAGTCCTAGGAATTCAAGATCAAGGTGAATTTAATGCAGAAATCAATATAGGTTTTTGAACCTTCTCTTGTGCATGCAAATCAGCAACTATTAGGATATAGTTCCAGCAAAAAATTAGTTTTTAATTCTTAGGAGAGGTGTTGTTGTAATGTACAAAGAGGCAACAAAAATAGAGTGAATTAAAGCAATAAATGTCAAGGTAAGATGATCAAAATTGATATAAATTCAATCTAAAATATAAATGGTACCTTGGTTTGCTTTTAATTCTTTCTGTAACAAAGACTAATAAAAAAAAACTCAAAATCAACCAAAATACAAATCAAAACCACCCTAGATTGACACTACAACTCCCCGACAACAACACTAGTTTCTGATGCCCTTAAATCACTGATATTAAGATTGATAAAAAATAATAATATATAGACTGAATTTTCAACAAGAAAAATAAGATGTATAGTGGTCAATCCATGCGAGTTGTCTAATCATTGATGATTCTAATGTAAAGATATATCGGTTGAGATTGAGGAAGAATTAAGTGAAAGAGATAGAAGAGAGTTAACTTTAGAAAACAAGAGAGAGATTAAATTAATGTCACCTTGATGATTTTCAATCGCCAAAGAAGGGATACTAAGATAGGAAACATATAATGATCATAAGATGAAGGGGTTTGATCATCTAGATAAAGATAGAAAGAATTTACTCCTACTCTCTACCTAATCGTGGCGTTCTCTTCTCTACCCTAATATCACCGGGTACCTTCATTCTTCATCCGCAAGCTCACCACTCAAGTCTTTTCGTTCACAAATGTTCAGCTTTTGGACAGGTAAATTGGTTGTAAAAAAAGAAAAAATGCCACGATTGACTGAAACCTTCATCTCCTATCATTGACTTAATCTTTTGCGTCTCTTAAGTCTTTTGTTGCGCTGTGAGTGCTGCTCGTTCTTGAGCGAGGAGTACATGAAGTCGGGGCTTGCCGAGCTGGAGAAATGGATTGTAAATGCCACGGAAGAGGTGGGCATCACATGGTCCTGTCCTTTGTTCACCGTATGGTTTGTCCGACAGCTGATGAATCTCGTCTCTACGTACAGTTCTCAGGGACCTCTTGGCATGAGTTGAAATATATCCGCCAAGCAGTAGGTTCCCTAGTATGGAATCTCAAGCCCGGGTTCAATATCTGGATGTTCCGCATGCCATTTCATTTTATCTTGCCTTCGCGTTCCAGGGGATACATCAGAAGCGGATAAAGTCTCTCAAAGAGATCAGATAGAATCTTTTTCCAGTGTCTACCATGTATGATGCAGGGCAGGATGAAGAATAACTAGGCTAACCCTAAATAAGTAACCTAATTGATTCTCAATATTAGATCTAGGAGTCTAAGAAAGTTCACTAAGATAAGATTAAGTGATTTCTCACGAGATTTGATATGAATAAAGTCGATGTGTTTGACAAATCGTCGAGGATTTTAGAGTGATTAACCCACAATAAGTGGACTACATGACTATCAAGGGGTTTTCACAAACTCTTTACCAGTTAATCCATAAATGGACCTATATAAGATTCACTCAACGGCAATTGGAAGATAAGATACTAAATAAGCAAAATCCTCAAACCAAAAAGAAAAAGGATTTAGCGATAGCGTTGTTGCCGGAATGAATGGCTAGTCGGTGGATGAGCACAGAGTGAAGCTGAAACCCTCAATTGGTCATAGTTGGCCGTGTGGACAGTTGACTAGGTGCTGATTGTCGACTGTTCATCGTTGACTGGCTTCCTGCTGACCGGGTTCGGATTGTTGACAGTTGGCAGGTTCGGGTCTTGCGGAACTGGGCCAGTCCAGTCCGGTGGGTCCAGAGTCATGAACTGGTGGGGATTTAATCTGAACCGGTGAGATGGGGGCGGGGAAATTGGCAAAAAACAGCCGGAGTGAGAGGTGGCAAAACGGGTGAAAGGGCGGAACAGCGGGGCAGAGCGGCGGTTCAGGAGGAGGTGGCACGGTGGTGGTAGGGCTGGTGACGTGGGCAATGGCTCTAGACAGCGGCGAAGGTATGAATTGTTCCCCATGTATCGTTGGCAGGCGGTGGACGACGACAACAGTCGATGGTGATCGTGGCGGCAGCAGCAGCATCAGATAGCAACGGCAATGGACGGTGGACAGAGGGCGATAGATGGTGGCAGAAGGATGATGAACGGCGGATGATCGACGAAGGACGGTGATAGGTGGCTGGTAGATGGCGAACTAGCAGTGCAGCAACGACTAGGTGAAAAGACTAGGGTATAGAAAGATAGAGGTTGAAGACGAGACAAAGGAGAGTGTCGAGAAGAAGAAGATTAGAATAGAAAGAATGGTTCATGTGTTACATTGTAAGGGTCAGTTTATATAGAGAAGTCATGTGGTAGAATTGGGCAAGGAGCCGTTGCTCTTATGAAAATATTGCTCTAGTTTGTCTTGGATGACAGCTGGTGCCGTAACGGCTTCTTGATCCTTTACGGCACTTGCTTGAATGGGTTATGTGTCCTCAACACTAGGCAGGCAAATAATGTGCCGGCAGATAGTGGGGTGGTGGACATGATCTTCCTTCTCTTGGTTTTCTAGGGTTACATGAAGTTATTTATAACTTCTCGAATGCATAATTAAAGAAATAAATAATTACTAATAAAACAAGATCCTCTCTTAATCAGCTTGGCGACGTGGACGTGATCCGTTCTCCTCGGTCTCCATTATTAACCCGGTTTATTTGTGAGTGGAGTGCAGCCGGCTTTGACACGGCAAGGTTCCTCTCCTCGCGAGCAATAACTCTGTAAGACATGCTGTGCCGGCGTAGCAAGGTGATGTTGATGACACGTCTGGCTCCGAGGGAGCGAGGACTTTGAACGAGTATGAACCCCAGTCCGGCAGAGTCACGGCGAATTCTCTCTCTCTCGATAAATAAATAAATATTCAGTGCAGCATGTATGCCGGTGTACTCGTGGAAGCAGCCGCGGCAGCGGGAGGTTTCTTCCGTCTCCTCGAGAGGACTAAAAAGGTCCTTACATGTCTCACTCTTACTAAATAAATATATATTTCAGGTAAGCAGCAATAATTTCATAGGACCAAGTATGGCGGTATACTCGTGGATGATCCCAATTCCCGTAGCCGTAGTGGTGGAAGCGGCCGCGGCGGCGGTACGTGGCTTCTCTCCTAGAGAGCAATAACTCGGAAAAATGTTATGCCGGCCTATGAAGGTAGGATGTCACGTCCCTCTCTCGCTCACACACACCACACGAACACACTATATATGTGTATACACATGAAAGTGAGCAGCCATGGTTTCAGAGGAGCAAAGTATGGCAGTGTACTCGTGGATGGCCCCAGATACCCTTCTCGTAGCCATAGCGGTGGCAGCGGCCGCTGCGGCCGCACGTTTCTTCGCTCTCCCGTTGTTGAGGAAGAAGACGACCCAGATCGGCGGTGGAGAAAGCTTCAGGCCGCCGCCATCCCCTCCCGGTCTTCCTATTTTGGGGAATCTCCTCGCTTTGGGAACCTTACCACATCAGACCCTCCGGAAACTGGCGGCGGCGTACGGGCCCGTCATGGGCATCAAGCTCGGCTTCGTCCGAATGGTGGTGGTATCGTCCTTCGCTACTGCGCAGAAGTTCCTCAGGGAGCCCGTCTTCATGGACCGGCCAGGGGGCGATATCAGCGCTTACCTCACCTATGGGCAGCAGAAGGGGATCCTGAACAGCGAATACGGGACTAACTGGCGCGAATCCCGGAACCTCTGCCTGTCTCATATGCTCTCCACCCGCAAGATCCAAGCCTTCCGGGGCATGAGGAACGCGGAGATTCACCGGCTCCTGCACTTCCTGAAGAAGGCTGCCGAGGGGGACAGCAAACCTGTCGATCTCACCGAAGCCGTAGCCTCGACGACCATGGCCATTGTGTTCCGTATTCTGTTCGGGAAGATATCTGGGGACGAAGCTACCATACAGAAGACGGTCAAAGAAGCTACCCAGTTAGCCGGGGTATTCAACATCAACGACTACCTCCCTTTTATCGGATTCCTCGACTTGAACGGAGTCCGGAGACGAATGAAGGCCGTCAGAAGGGTCTACGATAGCCTCTTCGAGGAGGTCATCGACAAGTACTGTCGGAGTCTGAACGAAGGGATGAAGGTTGAGGACTCCGTGATCGCCTCGATCCTCTCTTCGATGGGAACGCAGTATGATCGGGTTAACCTCAAGGCCATCCTCATGGTGAGACAACGACAAGAAAAGAAATCAGATTATACTACTGTGAGTATTATTATTTTTTATCTCGCCTTGTTTTTCTTTCCTATTAGGACACGATCACCGCGGGAACGGATTCGTCGGCAACCGCGGTGGAGTGGACGATGTCGGAGCTCTTGAGGCACCCCCGGGTGATGAGGAAGCTGCAGCAGGAGCTGGAGGAGGCCGTCGGCATGGACAGGATGGTTGAGGAGGAAGACCTCCCCAGGCTGCACTACCTGGAGATGGTGATCAAGGAAAGCATGCGGCTGCACCCGGTCGCCCCCCTCATCCCCAGGGCTGTCCGGGAGGACTGTGTCGTCGGCGGCTTCCAGTTTGAAAAAGGAAACCAAGTGGTTGTGAACCTCTGGGCCATGGGAAGGGATCCGAGTGAATGGGTCGATCCGGAGGCCTTCTACCCGGAGAGGTTCGAGGGGGCCGGCGGCGGGTCTGAGGATCGTGATGGCCTCGACTCTGGCATCCTCCCCTTCGGAGCTGGAAACCGGAGGTGCCCCGGCATGCAGATGGGTCTGACGACGGTGCGGTTCGTCGTAGCCCAGCTGGTGCACTGCTTCGACTGGGAGCTCCCCGGCGAGTTGGACATGTCGGAGAAATTCGGGTTAAGCTTGGCGAGAGCCAAAAACCTGCTCGCCGTCCCTACTTACCGCCTGCGACCAGGATCTTAGATGTGGACCTCGGAAATTCCGTCCCAGACAGCAAGCGCGCTCTTTCAACCCTATCTTTTAGGTCATGTATATCATACTGTCCTAACTACCTATGATCAAGGGCCATGGTCATATCACAGCAATGGTATCACGATCCGGGTCAACCTTTGGCTCTCTCAGTTGTATTTTCTCGACTAGTTACCATCTAAAATAAAATAAAGATATGTACCTAGGGATATTTTTTGTTAGAACAAATGTCAACTTTGAGTAACGAAATGTTGTCCCCTTGATCTGCCATGGCATGAAATTAAGATAGAGAAGGATTATCAATCTACAGCAGAAGCACCGACACAAGAAATGAAATGTGGTTCAGAGGTTTGCCTCCTACATCCACAGGCAAGGACGTTGGTAGGCTTCATTAGATGCGGAGAAAATCACACAAACCTCACACCTCCTCCGTCGTAGGAATTGGTGGTGCCTCTCTCCTAACCCACGAACAGACGGTGGCTCCCTCCACAGGACAGACCAGAAACATTCTCCAGTAGTACAACTGACGCCTTCTCGCTCCAGAATTCTTGCAGACCTGCTTTCTCCCGTGCTCTCTCTCTCTCTCTCTCTCTCTCGCTTTCTCCCAATATTCTTATCTCATTGAGAATATTGAAATACGAGAAAGTAAATCCTTGATAAATTCACCAGATTTCATAAAAATAGTGTCAAATTCTCTATAGAGAGTTTGAAGTTTTATAAACGTAACTCTATTTTCTCCATGACATTCATCTTTCAAAAAATTTCATGCTTCTGAATAACTTGTTGCTTTAGTAAGTTATGAAAAAATAGTTTGTAAAACTAATTGTTGTAACACAATAAGGCCTTAGCATCTTTTTTCTATTTTTTTTATTATCTTATTTAGAACTCTCTCATTCTTTACAACCATTCTCAACTAAACCCATAAGTCTTGTGAAATAAAAAATATTTTCATGTTAATACTCTAGATATCGTATTTCTCTCTGTTGAAGTGTGAGATAGGAGATTGTAAGAATTTGAGGGGGGTTGCCATTTGCCATTCTCAAAGTCAATAGCTATAACTCTTCATAAAAACTTCAAACAACACCTTCACATTCCTTGCAATGTGAGAAAATCTTTACAAATGCCCAGAAAGTTCACCAAACTCGCTTTTGAATTTCCTTGATGTTGCTGTGGTTTCCATGGTAACAAAACACCCAATACACGAACCCTGCATTTTGATACCACTTTGTAGGGCAATAAGAATGAAATATGTGGACAGAATAGATGGATTTAGGGGAGATAATCGTTGGAGAGGAGGGGAGGAGAAAGGAGAATTTCACACCGAAAAAACCCTTAGCTTTAAATTTCACAACTATTTTAAAAGAGGAGAGATAAAGGGTATTTTAAGGTTATATTAAAACCCTATGTGGGCGGCCAGACTTATAGCCCAATAAGGATAAAAGAGAGGACCAATAAAGATAAAAAGAAATATTACAATACATCGTCGGGGCGACTAAAGCATTGGTCGTAATAGATTGACATGAATACATAGAAGCATTTATCGTCCCAGGGTGGCTAGTGCGGTATATCTGGCTAAACAGTCGACACCTTTCGGCGACTCGAACAGATCAGAGGAAGGGCAGCGGAGAGCGAGAGAGAGATCGAATCACTCAAACGGAGAGATCGAATCGCCCTTGTAGCCAAACTAGAGTGAAGAAAAAGGAGGGGGGGAGCGAGAGAGAGAGAGAGAGAGGAAGCATGAGGAAGGTGGGGTGTGCAAGAGTTCTGGAGCAACAAGGCATCACTTGTATTGCTGGAGAATGTTTCTGGTCTGTCCTGTGGAGGGAGCCACCGTCTGTTCGTGGGTTAGGAGAGAGGCACCACCAATTCCTACGACGGAGGAGGTGTGAGGTTTGTGTGATTTTCTCCGCATCTAATGAAGCCTACCAACGTCCTTGCCTGTGGATGTAGGAGGCAAACCTCTGAACCACATTTCATTTCTTGTGTCGGTGCTTCTGCTGTAGATTGATAATCCTTCTCTATCTTAATTTCATGCCATGGCAGATCAAGGGGACAACATTTCGTTACTCAAAGTTGACATTTGTTCTAACAAAAAATATCCCTAGGTACATATCTTTATTTTATTTTAGATGGTAACTAGTCGAGAAAATACAACTGAGAGAGCCAAAGGTTGACCCGGATCGTGATACCATTGCTGTGATATGACCATGGCCCTTGATCATAGGTAGTTAGGACAGTATGATATACATGACCTAAAAGATAGGGTTGAAAGAGCGCGCTTGCTGTCTGGGACGGAATTTCCGAGGTCCACATCTAAGATCCTGGTCGCAGGCGGTAAGTAGGGACGGCGAGCAGGTTTTTGGCTCTCGCCAAGCTTAACCCGAATTTCTCCGACATGTCCAACTCGCCGGGGAGCTCCCAGTCGAAGCAGTGCACCAGCTGGGCTACGACGAACCGCACCGTCGTCAGACCCATCTGCATGCCGGGGCACCTCCGGTTTCCAGCTCCGAAGGGGAGGATGCCAGAGTCGAGGCCATCACGATCCTCAGACCCGCCGCCGGCCCCCTCGAACCTCTCCGGGTAGAAGGCCTCCGGATCGACCCATTCACTCGGATCCCTTCCCATGGCCCAGAGGTTCACAACCACTTGGTTTCCTTTTTCAAACTGGAAGCCGCCGACGACACAGTCCTCCCGGACAGCCCTGGGGATGAGGGGGGCGACCGGGTGCAGCCGCATGCTTTCCTTGATCACCATCTCCAGGTAGTGCAGCCTGGGGAGGTCTTCCTCCTCAACCATCCTGTCCATGCCGACGGCCTCCTCCAGCTCCTGCTGCAGCTTCCTCATCACCCGGGGGTGCCTCAAGAGCTCCGACATCGTCCACTCCACCGCGGTTGCCGACGAATCCGTTCCCGCGGTGATCGTGTCCTAATAGGAAAGAAAAACAAGGCGAGATAAAAAATAATAATACTCACAGTAGTATAATCTGATTTCTTTTCTTGTCGTTGTCTCACCATGAGGATGGCCTTGAGGTTAACCCGATCATACTGCGTTCCCATCGAAGAGAGGATCGAGGCGATCACGGAGTCCTCAACCTTCATCCCTTCGTTCAGACTCCGACAGTACTTGTCGATGACCTCCTCGAAGAGGCTATCGTAGACCCTTCTGACGGCCTTCATTCGTCTCCGGACTCCGTTCAAGTCGAGGAATCCGATAAAAGGGAGGTAGTCGTTGATGTTGAATACCCCGGCTAACTGGGTAGCTTCTTTGACCGTCTTCTGTATGGTAGCTTCGTCCCCAGATATCTTCCCGAACAGAATACGGAACACAATGGCCATGGTCGTCGAGGCTACGGCTTCGGTGAGATCGACAGGTTTGCTGTCCCCCTCGGCAGCCTTCTTCAGGAAGTGCAGGAGCCGGTGAATCTCCGCGTTCCTCATGCCCCGGAAGGCTTGGATCTTGCGGGTGGAGAGCATATGAGACAGGCAGAGGTTCCGGGATTCGCGCCAGTTAGTCCCGTATTCGCTGTTCAGGATCCCCTTCTGCTGCCCATAGGTGAGGTAAGCGCTGATATCGCCCCCTGGCCGGTCCATGAAGACGGGCTCCCTGAGGAACTTCTGCGCAGTAGCGAAGGACGATACCACCACCATTCGGACGAAGCCGAGCTTGATGCCCATGACGGGCCCGTACGCCGCCGCCAGTTTCCGGAGGGTCTGATGTGGTAAGGTTCCCAAAGCGAGGAGATTCCCCAAAATAGGAAGACCGGGAGGGGATGGCGGCGGCCTGAAGCTTTCTCCACCGCCGATCTGGGTCGTCTTCTTCCTCAACAACGGGAGAGCGAAGAAACGTGCGGCCGCAGCGGCCGCTGCCACCGCTATGGCTACGAGAAGGGTATCTGGGGCCATCCACGAGTACACTGCCATACTTTGCTCCTCTGAAACCATGGCTGCTCACTTTCATGTGTATACACATATATAGTGTGTTCGTGTGGTGTGTGTGAGCGAGAGAGGGACGTGACATCCTACCTTCATAGGCCGGCATAACATTTTTCCGAGTTATTGCTCACTAGGAGAGAAGCCACGTACCGCCGCCGCGGCCGCTTCCACCACTACGGCTACGGGAATTGGGATCATCCACGAGTATACCGCCATACTTGGTCCTATGAAATTATTGCTGCTTACCTGAAATATATATTTATTTAGTAAGAGTGAGACATGTAAGGACCTTTTTAGTCCTCTCGAGGAGACGGAAGAAACCTCCCGCTGCCGCGGCTGCTTCCACGAGTACACCGGCATACA